GATATGCAGGGTATCTGATCTGTGACTCCTGTGAAGGGGGTCATTCAACACCCCCAAAGGGACGAGACCCACAGGCTGAGAACCACTGCCACACACACAACCTGCATGGCTTCAGGTAAGAACCCCACCCCAATGGCGAGGGTAAAGCACCCCTGTCTAGTCCTCCCGGCAGGGACTTCAGGAGTCCAGGGACAAAGATCCCAGCCACGGAACTACTGAGCAGGTTCCCCGCCCCCTGTAACTTCCACTTCTCCTCCCGAAAGTCCTGTGACCTTGCCAGTGTTCCTTACTTAGGGCTACATCTCCCCGTGTCCAGCCTGGGCCACAAAGCTCCAGTACTTCTTACTACTTCCTCCGACACTTCTCCAAAGCTCTAATGGTGCGTGAGTGCTTACTGGGGTGAAGGGAGGGTCCACACGAAGGCAGTGCAGGGGTGGAGGCTGCGGGGTGCAGGCCCAGGCCCTCAGCAAGCTTGGAAGTAGCACAAAGCTCCAGAAGCTAAAGGTCAGAGACGCCGGAGGGATCTGTGATGTTGCCTGACTCCCTGCTACTTGCGGGAAAAGTTGTTCCAGGTCACACCACTCCTCGCCTGCTGCACGACTAAGCTCCCCGTTCAGGACCTGCGCTCACCTGGGCCACCTCCAGAGCACTCTTGTTTAAATTGCAGGCTCGGCAAATCTACGGAGGGGCCCAGGAGTCTGCATCTCTGCCTGGCTCCCAGGTAATGGTGATGCTACTGGTGCACCAACCACACAGACAACAGCAAGGTTTATAGCCAAGTGAACAGACCAAGCCAGGCCTGGAGATGTGTGCCTAGCACTGGGGAGGCAGGAGGATGGCTGTGAACTTAGGGCACGGAATGGTGGCACATGCCTGCAGTCCCAGCACGGGGGAGGGACTAAAGGAAGGTCAGGTGTTCAAGGCCTGCCACTCAGCAAGTTGAGGCCAGCTTTCGTTACTAAAAACAAACAAACGAAAACCCACCAGGAGGGGAAGGGAGCTGTCAGCAGGAGAGCTGGGCAGGCGGCTCAGGCACCTGCTGTCAAGTCCCGTGACCTGAGTTCAGTTCCCCAGGATCCCCGTGATGGAAGGACAAAATTGACTCTTCCAAGTTGTCCTCTGGCTCCACACAAGACACCAGGGCATCCTTGTGCCCAAACACATACATGATAAATAAAGAAATTAAATGTTTGTAAAGGCTTCTGAGTTAGACCTGCACCATCTGTCTAACCCTGTCCATTGTTATCAGGGCGCCTTTCTCTTCTTACTCTATTTCCAAAGAAAGAAGAAAACGACGACGACGTATACCACCCTGGCTAAAGCCCTCCTTTCAAGTCGGGAGGCTGCTTCAAATGCCCTTTCTCCAGGACCTGTCCCTTCACTCCTCCCTCCCTAATTATTGGCTCCTGGGCCTCTGAACTTTTTCCTTTGAAGCACTTATAACAACTGTAATTAAAGACTGTTTGTGTAATTATTCGTTTAATGTCTGTCTCCCAGACAGACTGCAAGCTCTAGGAGGACCGGACAGCACAGTGTCTAGAACACTGCAGACTGCCTGTAAACAAGCAGCTGCCATGGTCTGCACTTTGCCGGGCTAGCAGACTGGACTGGACGTGTGGGACATCTGCTGGAGACCTCTAGGCCAGCGGTGACCTTTCATGTACGTGAGTGTGTGTGTGTGTGTGTGTGTGTGTTCTTATAGATGAGCGCCATTTGTGTGTGCAGGTGCACCTATACATGTTTGCATGCAGGTGGAGGTCAGAGGGTCATTCTTCAGGAGACATCCACCTTGCTTGTGAGATAAAGTCTCCTGGATTAGTTAGGCTGGCTAGCCGGTGAGCACCAGAAATCCTCCTGTCTCCACCTCTCTGATTCTAGAGTGACAAGTGGGTAACCACGGATTTTCACGTGGGCGCTGACCATCTAACTCTGGTCCTCCAAGCACTTGACTGCCTGAGCCATTTGCCCCAGTGTAAACGTATTCCAATCGAGTAGGGATGGAGCTCAGCGGTACTGCCCATGTGCAAAACCCTAGATTCAATGCGGGCATCACCTGTGTTCAGATGTGTGTGCATGCATCCTAAAATCTTGTCAAGTACAAAAATAGTCCTGATCTGGCACTGCTACCGGGGAATAACGAGACCCTGGGAAACAAGCACACCCTGTCAGTCCTCGCTGGCTGAACCATCAGCAGGCAGTGTGGGGACCCCCCCCCTCTGCGGCAGGCTGACAATTTCTTTTTTAGCTTCTCTTCCACTATCCTTTCAGAAGAACCCAAAAGCTGAAGACCCAGTTCCTTCGCATGAGAGGCCTGACCACATCATTACTGTCGAGAAGCAGACACCGGCTCTGAAGCCCCAGACAAGTGACTTAACTCCTCTGTGCTGTTTCCCAGGCTACCAGATGAGAATAGCAAGGTGTTTGCCAGCACCTGCAAGGACTATGGGAGATGATGTATATACTTGAGCATAATCCTGGCCTGGAACACCTGATTATATTCTTCTCCCAGTGTCTGAGTCCAATTCAAAACCTCTCTATTGTTTTGCAGAAGTCTCCACCCTGTGGCTCCACCCATTCAGGATCCACTCTTCCCAACCCCCTCCCGCCTTACCTGTCTGGAGCTTGTTTGAAACAATGAATCACAGCACAACTCTGCAGCGCCCATCAATCACCTCCCTGTCCCTGCCTCTGTGTGTCATTTCTGGGCTCCTCCTGGGAGGGAAAGGCTTTTCCTAATGTCCAGCACATCATTCAACAAGTATTTATGAAAGGCCAACTATATATTAGTCTTGCAGGGGCTTAGCAATGGGCCAAGCAAATAAGCAATCAATAAATAATAAATATGTTGGTAGGGGGAAATCCACAGATAGCCCAGCTCTCTGCCCCCACTGAACAGACATTCTAGCAGCTCTAAACCCTGAGTGGAGATCAGCTACTGAAGCCCTTCCTTCTGTCCCCATTCTTCCCCATCTAGCTAACCCTAAATAAATCACACACAAGTACGGAGTATGAAGAAAGTATTCCAGATCAAAACCCGGTAATTTAGGAACATCCTGATGACTAACCTTCTACCCTGCTGAACTGCTAGGCTTTAAAGAGATTGGTGCTAAAATAGCAAGCTCTCCCAATAATTGCCCTGGCCTGCCCAGTCCTCCAGAGCAGCATGTAAGGCATACCTACAAAATAAGGCGATGTTACCTCAGCCCGTACATGCATTACAAGCCCATGGCTGGTTTCATGTCCTCACAGCCATGTTCTTTGAACTATGTGTGGCTGCGAATCCATAGCAGCAGCAAAGGTAGAGAGGCCTTGTGGAAAGAGACCCCAGGGGATCAGATTTGAGCGATTGCCCTGCTAGTGACTGTTAGTCCATGGGGTACTCTTCCTGCCTTGGATGTTTTTAAACAGTCTCTAAGATCTTCTAGTTTTGGAGTCAAAGGACTGGCTCCACTGTCCTTAACGGAGACCTAGCAGATGCAGAATCCTTCCTTTGGTAAACTGAATAAACCTGCTTGGGGTCAAGCCCTAGTAAGGCCTGAGGGATCTGTGGGTGGTCAAGCCAAGGAAGGAAGCGGCACCAAACATCCATCAGTGTGGGGGAGTGGGGGGCCCTTTTCATCTGCTTCCTCTGAGATGCAATAGACTCTTCCTTTTAGTTCTCTACTATTCCAGTGGTTCCCAACCTTCCTAATGCTGTGACCCTTTAATACAGTTCCTCATGTAGTGGTGACCCCAACCATAAAATTATTTTGTTGAGCCAGGTGGTGGTGGCGCATGCCTTTAATCCCAGCACCTGGGAGGCAAAGGCAGGCGGATCTTTGTGAGTTTGAGGCCAGCCTGGTCTACAGAGCGAGATCCAGGAAAGGTGCAAAGCTACACAGAGAAACCCTGTCTCAAAAAATAATATATATATATATATATATATATATATAGTTGCTACTTCATAACTGTAATTTTGCTACTGTTATGAATCTTAATGTAAATATCGGATATGCAACCCCCAAAGGGGGCTGTGACCCACAGATAATTATTCCCTTCTAGAAAGAGGCTATACCACAGCCAGGTGTGGTGGGACATGCCTGTAGTCTCAGCACCCAGGAACTTGAGACAGGAGGATCACCAGTTCAAGGCCAGTCTGGACTAGGTAATGAGACACTTCTCCAAAGAGAAGGAAGTAGTAGTTAGCTACTTCCCAAGAGCAGCCTTGCTAGAAACATCTCTAAGCCACAAGGCAAACCTAAACCAGAAACCATACAAAATCTCTGGTGATCCATTACTCGTTCCTCCAACCCAAAAGATAGTCTAGACCTTGTCTGTCTCCTTGCCTCTAGACAGAGAGCCTAAAAGAAAATGCCTGGTTGTGATAGAAGGGACCTGAGCACAAACAAATGCCTCCCACGCCATGAGACCGAGGGTCAGCTGGGAACAGCTTGAAGAAGACAACCGAGACACTCTAAAGTCAGTCTGACCCCGTGTCAACTCACTGAAACTCCTGGCACACGGTCACGCAGGAAACCAGACCAGACTAGAGGAAGAAAATGCGATCCAACTGTCCCTTGCCCCTACCCGAAGCTCTACCCAGTGCCCTCAGGCGGCAAAGCCGGCTCTGCAAGGTGGCTGGAGCTGGAAGTGATCAATTCAAGGTTGTGCTCCAAGAGCAGCAGGTGCCTGGCACGGGGTTACTACGTGTGGGACGACGGGAGGGGAGCAGACAAAACCACTAAGCAAAGCTCTCAAAGGTAAGTTTGCTTTGAAAGAAGTGAAAAAGTGATGGTCATACAACCTCTCAAAATAAAAAGCAGACAGGCCCCTCAGCGTTGATAACAATACACTTTCTTAAATCTAAAGACGGCGAAGGACCATTTCCCCGCGTCCCACACCAGCTCCCTGGATCTTTGAAGGGCCCTGGGAAGGTGATACAAGCCCTCCCCCGCCGTCTCCGGTTCCCACACATCAGCTCTTCTCTTTGGCAGAAGTGAACTTTGGCTGCTTTTACTTACACATGTACAAAGGCAAGGCCTGAGAGGGCAGCGTCAAAGCTGGCCGGATGACCCCCAGCGGCACAAAGTCCTCCGCACACCTGTGGGGGAGTTTTGTGAGCTTCCGAGGTATCCACGGGGACTAGTCACGTCTTCAGGTGGGCAGTGGCGGACAGTTTCCATTGTGAACGGAAAGAAAGACGCCCAGGGTGCCCTTCGAAGATAGGGCACTGGGGCCGCGGGTCAAGTGTCCCCTCCCTGGCAGGCCGGCCGCTAAGACCGTGAAGGAACTCCGCAGTGTCCGGGCGAAAACACACCCAGGCTACTGCTTGGCCTGGCCGGAACCATCTCGCAGGGCGGAGAGATCCATTAATGACCGTTTTGGATTAGTTAGAGGCCACACAAGCACCTCCCTGGCCTCTTAAATCTTCCCAAACTACAGTTTAGACTGGAGGGAAGCAGTTGCAGGGACCATAAAAGTCATCTTAAAAGGCAAGTTGAAAAAAAAAAACCCAACAACCCGCTACGCACGAGTTAGCAAGTCCGCAGCTCGGGGTGGGGGGGAACACCGAGGCCGGTTCGGTGGGGTCTGAGAGTCGGTGGGGGAAGGAAGACCACCGGATTCGGGGGGCTCCTCGAGCTGACGCCGACGATCACGCCCCACAGCTCCGTCCAATTAGGAAAATGACCGCGAGGAGAGGGAGAGGGGGCGGCGAGGAAGGGAGGACGAGCCACCGGAGGCTCCAGACCAGCCATGGGGATCTGCCCACCCTTCCCCTGCACCCGGCGAGCGCCGTCAACAGGTCCGAGCCGGGGCCACCGGGGGGGGGGAGCACCCGGGACCCGCGGCCCCCGGCTGGAGATGCCCGCTGACCA